TCTGCCCTACAGTCCAGACTAAGGAAACACAAAGGTCTGTTGACCTGAAGTTAAGGGATAATCTTTCCTTCTGGGTGAGTCACCCCACCCAGGGACACAGGGATTACTCCTTGCTAAAACGTAAGCTAAATTCTTTGTTGGCCAAACTCTCACCCTCTAAAATATAACAATGTAAGTTTTCAATATTATTGTGCTACACTGCACCTGAAAACTACTCTTTTTCTGTTCCTATTTTTGTTTTAATAAACGTAAGCTAAATTCTTTGTTGGCCAAACTCTCACCCTCTAAAATATAACAATGTAAGTTTTCAATGTTATTGTGCTACACTGCACCTGAAAACTACTCTTTTTCTGTTCCTATTTTTGTTTTAATAAAGGAAGGTAGTAGGAGTGGCTCAGGTACAGAGCTGGCTACATAATTTGCAGTGCAAAATAAAAATATGGGATCCTTTATTGGAAAAGCAGCGGGGGAAAGTGCCGCTGAAGGTACTAAAATACAAAGCCTTTTCTTTTCTTCCATGGTCTCTCTCTTGACTTGAAATCGTATCTTTTATTTGTTATTTAATATTGTTCTAGATAAAGAAAAATTAAACATTTAAATTATTAACTTGAATTTTATCATTCCTTTTCGTATTGTGCAATGCCAGTCTTAAGTGCAAATGTAAGAACATTCAACTCAAATGCAGAATCACCGAAATAATGCATTTTGTATTTTCATAACTCAAATATGTATTTTATTCTGACCAGAAGAGTGGAAATGCTGCACAAAACTAACTCAACTGTTTTTATTTCTCTCATCGATCCGTGCACATTCTACCAACACTCTTTACCCGCAACCTGCTGTTGAGTGAGGACGAACAGGACGAGAAGGAACTATGGTTTGCTCAGTGTTCGCCTTCCGTTGTATGTCCTCATTTCTAGCCTCAGTGATTAGCCCGTGAATGGAAGTGACACTAGTATGACACTAGTATGATAGGGTTCCTTGGTCGTTTGTTTCTCTTAGGATGCTGTTGCCTTCTTTCCGTGTAAATGGCATGTGTGGTCTCCTGACGCTGTCAGCTCTCTCCCTTAGTCAGAGGTGTGACATGCTTTTCCTGTGCTCACTTTGAGTCCTGCTGAACACCCCTGCATTGTGGGTCCACTGGAATTCTACACTCATAGGGCACTGCACATGCTACATGCAAATGGGGTGACAAGGAGCCTGCTGTTGAGTGAGGACGAACAGAACGAGAAGGAACTATGGTTTGCTCAGTGTTCGCCTTCTGTTGTATGTCCTCATTTCTAGCCTCAGTGATTAGCCCGTGAATGGAAGTGACACTAGTATGACACTAGTATGATAGGGTTCCTTGGTCATTTGTTTCTCTTAGAATGCCGTTGCCTTCTTTCCGTGTAAATGGCATGTGTGGTCTCCTGACGCTGTCAGCACTCTCCCTTAGTCAGAGGTATGACATGCTTTTCCTGTGCTCACTTTGAGTCCTGCTGAACACCCCTGCATTGTGGGTCCAC